GTTCTTCCATTTTTTAATCTCTCCCGCTCGCGCCGGAAAGAAACCGCGAGGAAATCTTGTTTTCCGTTACGATTGATTATTGCCAAGCCTACCACGCCCCTCTCGACCATAACCAGCTGACAAACCGGAACTGGCGCACGGAGATTCCAGTTCCGATCTGGTAACTGCAACCCCCACTTTCACTAAAATCCTCGGCGCAACCCCATTTTTTCTGTACTTTCCCATCCCCTCTCCACACTTCGAAAGGAAACCGGCATAGGGTATGAGGTTGCCCGTCACATTTAACCTCTTTGGCTGACCGTAGCTCCCCAAGACTCAGTGAAGCATAAGGCCGTAGTTTCACGTCGACGGCCTTTCCCAAACACAGCGATGCGTTCTTTTGGGAATGGCCGTCAATGTGAAGCATTCTTTGAGGCCCGTCCGCAATTAAAATCCCAGCCATCAAGCTTCACATCGACGGCCTTTCCCAAGAGAACGCATCACACCATTAGGCACGGCAGAGCACAAGGCCGGCATTCAAAGAATGTTTTCATACGAACGAACCTAGTCCTCATGGCAAGAGCCCGGACTGGTAGTTGAAAGAGCAAGGCTGTCACATTTAACCTCTTCGCCCATCGTCATTATGCAGAATGCGCACCCACTTCTAGAATTCAGGCCCACACCCATATTTTTCATGCTCGCATTGAGAAAGGCTGATTTGACCTGATCGTAGGCCTTTTCAAAGTCGAAGAAAAGTATTGTTGTGTTTATCCTTTTTTCTCTGACTTTGTTGGCTGCTTCGTCGAGGGTCAGTACACTGTCCAGGATGTATCGCCCAGGGATGAAGCCTGTTTGGTCTATATGAAAGCATTTGTCTGTCAGGTTTAGGATTCAAAGAGAGGCGGTTAACGGAGACCAAAAAATTCGGCGTTTTTTTAATGCTATTTATAAGAAAACCCGAAGGCCTTTTTAACCAAAAATTGCATCATTTTAACCCGTTAACCACTGGTGTTTGAAGCCCGTCACATTTAACCTCTTTGGCTGACTGTAGCTCCCCAAGACAACCCGGCAACCACACAGTGAAGCATAAGGCAGCAGCAACAAGTTAGCTGCACTGCAAGGAATGACAGGGTGAGCGGACGAGCAGTGCGGCAACCATGCAGTGAAGCACAAGGCAACACCAACAAGGTAACCAAACTACAAGGTACGCAAGCAAAGGATACGGGAGGCACGGCTTGCAGATGGGCAACAAGGCAGCGAAGCAGCGAAGCGCAAGGCAACACCAACAACACTGCCACACCACATAGCAAACACAGCAACTTGCCAAGACCGACCTGCGACGCAAGTGGGATGGGCAGCAACGCAGCGGCGGAACGCAGACGAGGCAGTCCACACATCCAACATGGAGCAAAGCGGCACATCACCTGCTCACATCACGGGTGAACCCCGGAGACTGTTGGTTCCCACCACCCACTGAGCCAAGGAGCCACTGCAACGAACGTCTGTCCTCACCCGTTGGACAGACAGCCATCCCGAACGGAGCGACCCCCCTAAGAGTGCTGCAGGCACTCCAACCGAGGAATGACAGACTATTTGGCACTAGTTAAAGGTGCTCAGTTGGGCAGACAAAAAGTAAGAAAAAGTAGAAAGCAAACATACTGTGAGGATTGAGCCCTCATATAGGGGCCTTGCCATGATGTACATGTTCTGGGCTAAGGCCCCAGCAAGCCTCGTGCCCACCCTAAGTGAAGGCGGGCCAACAAATCAACACGAGCCCTCTGTGCCAACATTTCACGAAGTGGGGTTCGTAACTTCATACAGTTGCAGCACGCCAGTTGGTTGGTGTGCACCGAGTCTCAGATTTCAGCCAATGCTGAAATGCCCAGGGCCTCTGAGTTAGTTAGGCCCTGGGCTGAACGTGAGGCCGACAATGCATGCTAGGTAGAGAGGCCGAAAATGCCAAAGGGAAATCGGCCCACTATCTGAATCTGGCCACAGGCCTTGATGAAAGAGGTGCAACTGCACTGCCCGGGGCCCAACTGTATCGAGTTGGCTTCAGCCTCTGGGTCCCGGTCACAGGCTGAAGGGAGGCCGCACACTCGCTGCATTGGCATATAGGCAAGCAGGGCGAGGCAGCGGGGACCTTGACCAATGCTGGCACTTGCGGGCACGCTGCGCGGATGCATGTGTGCTGCGCTGTGCAATGCAGCGCTGCACTAAGAGCAAGCAGGCCAGCGCTAGGCGGTAGGGCGCTGCCTGCATGCAAGGCACTGGCGGCCATAGCCGGGCCGCATGAGGGTGTAAGAGAGGTGAAGGGCGAAGGTGGTCTTCGGAGGTGAAGGGCGCTGTGTGGGTAACAAGGGAGAGTGTGGGGAAGAGGACACGTACCTGGTGATGGTGGAATACGGCATTGGTGTTGACATCATCACTCGCTGGTAGTCAAGTTGTCTAGTTGCTTTCATTGCTGTAGTTGTAGGATAGGCTGTAGAGTAGATAGGGCGCCT